GCGGCTGTAGCGGTTTTACCGCCTGGGCCCCGTGACATTTCGCTTTGATATTTTTTTTGCTGGCGTATCGATTAGTTTTTTGATGTTCTAATTTTTTTTTAAAAGATCTATTGAAAAATGATTTTCCACACAATTTTTGTGCTCAAATATTTTTAAGGACCTGAACAGCGATTATAAAATATTATTTCAAATATTAATAATTTGTATTGATAATATAATATTAATATTTTATATTAATAATAATATTGTGAATTTAAATATTATTCATCAATGAAATTTGGAGTTATCAAACTGTTAAAGATGATGCAAATTGAAAATTTAGTTGGGACTTTTTTGGAATAGGAACTGCTCTTCATTAACGAGCGAGTTCCAATAAAGCCCATAGAAATAGGAGACGGTAACCGAGTGCAAGGACACACGATACTCGAATATCGCATCGGCCACTCGACAAAACGCCCGTTGTCTAGTAAATTAACCTCTTTTACCCGGGAGAATTCCTTTGTGAAATTAAATATTTCCCCCCCCCCCCCCGCTCCCTTCCCCATTCGCCTCTAATGAATTTAATTTCAAACTGAAATTTTATTTCAAACTCTCGATGCTTTTTTTGTTTATCTCTTCATCGTAATTAGCAAGCATAAAAGATCAAACTCGGGTGGTGTCTTGTTGTGCTTCTCACGGAAAATGTTCCTGTGATAAAGTATCAAAGAGTTTTAAGAAGTTCTCCGTTGGAGTATTTGAAACGATCTCGACGGTTATTTTCCTGATACTTGGGTATACATTCCAGGGAGGGGAGGGACCTTCTGAAATCGCAAAATTTTTCTCAAGTTTAAGATTACACGACTGGGGAAGATGTACAGGAACGACGCACGAAATTTCAACGTGGAAAATTCCATTTCCAATTAAAGTTTCCGCACTCTCCGGGAAAATCAAAGTTGTGCTTTTGAAAATTCAGTTCAAACATCGGCGCCAATGTCAGGGGGATGTATATCCGCCCCGTATTGTTGAGAATTCGATTTAGGTTTTAAACTTTTTTTTATTTGTGTCGAACCATTGTAGTGTTGATTTAATCATTTTGGAATTATTGTTCTTTTTAAAATTATTATCAACCGACAGTTCCACTGAAATTTCGACGAATTTTGTCATTGAAAATGAATAATTTTATTAAAATTAAATTCTTCTGTGAATGTAAAAGCGCTAAAAGAGAAAAATTCAAGTAAATAAATCCGTAAATTTTCAATTGATTGAAAATTCAGCGCAATTTTGTACAAATTATTCGTGTTTTGATTAAAAATTCACGGGAATTGAGAAATTCTCGTCTTTCTCCTACTTAAAAAATTCGGAATCCCGTTAAATCGTCAGTAAAATTACTCTCCCATCCATTTAACTTTCGGGAAAATATTAAGAATAGCGGAAATGCAGGAGAATTTTGCCCTGATGAATAGGCCCTCGAGAAAGCGGGACAAATTGAACACACACTCGGCAAGAAATAACCCAGAGGTCTCAGCTGTTGAGGTGGCGCGGGTTTCTGATTGAATTGCTCTCTGGGCTCCTTCTATTTTGTGACCAATACGAATGTGCGCGGCTCTGGCTGTTTCGCATTAATGCACAAAATGCTGAAAAAGAGAGAAAAAAAGGAGGGAGGGAAAAAAGGCATCGAAGAGTGGATGGGGTGATGTATTGGGCACTCGCTAGGATGAAAAACTTGCGCATTTATCGGTATGACACGGGAACACAACAAAGATCGAGAGAGACCGAGTGCAGATGCGAAGAGACGGCAGTTGGGAGGAATAGAGGGGGGCCAATTCAGTGGCGCAAGCCGTGAAATATGGTTATATGCGCTCCTTTGTACAAGATTCAGCAGTTTCGCTGCCGGTGACGACTGATCGGGTTTATTTCACGCTGGTTTACACACATAATTTTTCGAGTACAGCGCGGATTTATGGGCAGAGAGGTAGAAGAATTTACAAGTATTTTTTTGAGAATTTAGAGCAGCTAAATCCAGAGAGATAACGCATTTGAATTCAATATTTAGAATGCCTCAATGTCTTGATTTTGACTATTGGCCAATTTTCAATGAATATCTCGGAATCTAAGGAAGATAGCAAAATTTTTGTTATAACCTTTTGTGTAGAGTTCATTGAGAGCTACAACAAATGTAATTACTAAAATTTCGCTATCTCTCTTCGACTTGAAGTCGACTTGAATTGTTTCTGGGGACACGAACGCCTTAAAAAAGTGTCTTAATCTCTACTTTTTCTCGAAGAAACTCGAAAAAAATCCGGGCATTTTCGCCTTATTCCTATCACCAAGAGAGTTTCCCGAAAATAAATTCAATATAATTCCCACACGTCCGCCGGAAAAATAGCTCAGCAAGTTGTGGGGCTATTGTTCCCCCGATTCCGCCGCCCTGGAATATCCCTCACGTAACTGGTGAGCACTGGGAGGGGGTGCCAAGGCCGGGAAGACACACACGAGCTTGTACGCATCTGTTTGCCCTGATTGACATAAAGATTGCGTGTGCACGACACGCACCTGTGTCCCTCCGGCCGTTTATTATCTCCTCGCTATCAAAATTTAGCCAACGACCCGTTAATCCCATAAAAAAGCTCTTCGCGAATGAAACAAATTAGATAATTATTCCGGATAAATTTGCTCCATCTCCCCTTGAATTGAAAAGGGTTTTTTTTTTTTCGACAAAGACCGCTTTTGCGCCTCCAGTCACACCAATTCTCCGAGTCTCCACTTATCCGCGCTTTGTACAGCTATTTTTACATCTTCAAAAGAGTTGAGTCCCCTTCGTGTATGAGTGAATGCGTGTTACCGCGGTACCAAGGTAACCGACTCCACGAGATCCTGGAGCGTCTCAATAATTCAAGGTATGGATTTTGAGTTAGGAGCGGGCTTTTCTTCTTCTTCTCTCCTCTTATTTTCATTTCCTTCGAAATTTTTTTTCTCCTTCTTTTTTACTTCTCTCGTTCACTGGAGTAAAGACGAGAGGCACAAGACCCCCGGGGAATTCCACGAGTTTCACCGACGTTCCTATAGTGATGGATGCCTCACGCGCCTCCACTTCCGTGCAATTTCATTCGCTGTTTCGCTTTTCTTTATACCGTGCGACGCCTCCTCCTGCCACTGATGGGGGGCGGCAGGGGCCTCATGATGTGCCTAAACATGAGCCGGATAAAAATTATGGCTCAATATTTAAGAGATGCGAGAATATATTTCTCTCGATATTTTTTATATTGGGGTTGTTAATGCGGCGGGGGCCGTGGGGCGAGAAGTTTCGGGTGTTGGTGGGACTCCGGTTAAAATGGGAATTAACGGAGCGTGAGTGGGTCACACCCCTCTACGATTTCGTAATAGTGTTCTTGAAGCGGTGTGACAAGCCGGAACGACTCGAGTTATTTCACTGTAACCAAATTTTCGGTCGTACTCTTGAGGGGGTTAAGCGGCTTTATTTTTTAATTAGTTGAGCGATGTGTGTACTTCATTTTGTCAGTGAAACTTCTTTGTTCTAGGGAAAAATCAGGTCAATTATTTCGGGGAAATTAATGGAAATAAAAAAATTCGGGGGAGTGAATACTGAATTTGGTACTGAATATTAGTGTTTTTATGGAGAGGTCAAATAAATTGGGGGATTCAGAGTTAATTTCAATTTTTTTCCAACATTCTAAATTTTTTTACATTGATTCATTGAATATATGAGGGAAACTGCGTACCCAAATAATTTTCTATACTAATTAAAATAATTTTTGTTATCGACATTTAGCAATTTCCTCCGTTGTTTTGTAATAATGCAGTTTCCCTCTTTATTCAGAACCTCATTACCTACAAAATTACAAAAAGAAAATGACTAGTCCCCAAAAACCGTGAATCAAAGCAAACCCGTCGTATTTTTAAACCCATTAACCCCCCCCCCCCCCC